GAAAATATTAATTAGCCTGAAATAATAAACGCTGGTGCCTGGAGAAAGTATAAAGAGCCCAGAGAGACCCACTGGGCTTGGCAGCGGAATGCTTGGCTCCAGTTTCCACCTGTTGGTTGTGTGTGCCTGTGAGCACATCTTTCCATCCCCCTGGGACTTAGACTCCCTGTCTGTAAATGGGAGGGGCTGGGCCAGCTCATCTGTAAGGCTCCTTGTGAGTCTGACAGTTTAGGACACCACCATCCAATAGAACTTTCTCCAGTAGTGGAAATATGCCATGATCTGCACTGTCTGGTATGATACCGCGAGCCCCATGTATATACTGAACACTTGAAATGGCTAGTACCACTGAGGAACTGAACTTCTCCATTTTCTTTCATTTTATTTAATCGAAAAGTAAATAGTCACATATAAGGACCTACTGTGTAGCACAGAGACCTAGATTCAATTTCTTGTAATAAGCTGTAATAGAAAAGAACCTGAAAATATAGGTACAGATATGTATATATGTATGTATAACTGAATCACTGTGCTGTATACCTGAAACTAACATTGTAGATCAACTACACTTCAATAAAAATAAAATTTTTTTTAAAAAGGTAAATAGCCACATGGAGTTAGTGGCTACTATATTGGACAGGACAGGCCTGGGATTCTAGATCCAAAGATTTGGTTCTGCTCAGTCTGGTGTTGGTGTCTGTCAAGCTAAGCACATTCTAGACAAATTTTGCACAGGGACTGAAAGGAAGGACTGCTGGTTTGCACTCGGTTATTGGAACATCCATTGAGCCAGGAGCCCCTCTCCCTTGGCATTTCAGCTCATGGGATTTTGAACCTCCACCTCCAACCGGTCACCACAGCTGGCTGAGCAGTGTGTTTGTGTCTCCCTCCCAGCCAGGCATGCGTGCAGAATCATGTCCCGAGAGCCTCAGGCAGCTTCAGGATCTAATCTGTTTCTCATCATTTCTTGGCAAGTCCGGAGGGCAGATCCTTAATAGAAACATCACCTCAGCTCATTAAGGAAGAACTATGTGTTTTGGGGGTGAGGTTCAGAAAGGTATTGAAGATTGCTGTTCCCAGCTCTCTTGTCTTTACCTGCCACGGCCCAGCTATTTCCCACTGGACCCTTTACTGAGTCTTTCAAATTCATCTCTGGTTTTTCCATCCCCACTGTCATTGCCTTAGTGGAGACCCCGTTAGCTTCTCCTATGTGCTGTTTGTCAGTTTCTCCCTGCCTCTCAGCCATCCTGTTTACACTCCTTGGTGGAACTTACTAAAATACCACTTCAGTTGTGTCATCTCTGGGTTCACATCATGCAGCAGCCTTCCCACTGCCTTCAGGACAGAGTCCAGGCTCTTCCTGGGGTACCTGAGCCCCCCCCACCCACTGGCTTCCTGCTATTGAAACTTCAACCCCACAGGTCTTTCACAGGAGCCTGCTGCTCCTGCCAGCAGGGCCATTCAAGGCCTGACTTCTGCCTCCTTGTAGACTCCACATACCTAGACCTGTCCTTTGCATTCTGTCAAACTTCCAGGCCCATCCCAAATGCCACCAGCTACATGAAGCCCTTCTGCTCTCCCCCAAGCTGGTACTTCTCCCAATCTTTGTCCGTGTATACTCTTTCTAGGTAGGAATTTGAGGATGTAGCAGAGTGGCTAGAATTAGGCTACAGTGGGACCATCCAGACCTGAGTTCAAGTCTTTGTCTTTGCCTGTAACCTTGGCCAACAGACTAAACCACTCCCTGAGCCTCAGTTCCCATCTCGAAAATGGACGCAATGCCTACCTTACAGGATGGTTGTGAAACCTGCATGAGTTAACTTATGTAAGGTGATCAACAGAGTGCCAGGTGTATTATAAGTGCTCAATAAATGGTAGTTATGGTTATTATTATTATTATTATTATTAGACTTTTATTGAGGAAGGAATGAGGCATTACACACGCTGGTAAGCTCCCTCTCTTATTAGAAGTGTCCAGACAGTGGAAATCACATTTTTTGGTATCCTTTGCACCCAGCTGTGTTTGCAAACACTCACCATTTCAATTGCTTGAGCATCTCAGGGGCCTGGAAGGCCTATATTTGAGTCCTGGGTCCACTACTTACTGGCTCTGTGACCTTGGGCAAGTTTCTTAACCTCTCTGAACCTCAGTGGGCTCATTTATAAAGGGGAGAAAATAATGGTACCTTTTTTATAGATTGTTGCAAGGATTAAATGGAGCACTAACAAGGTGTCTGGCTGGAGGACTGTCACACGGGTTAGCCAGCCCCTAAGGTGGAACTGCCTGAAGATTTTTTGAATGAATGAATGAATGAATGAATGATCCCATTGTACCAGCTGTAATGAGGTTTGGAGGTGGCGCTATCTCAATATTATTCTCAATTATAGTAGGTCTGGCAGAGGTTTCTGGCCCAATTATCTCCCTCCTCTCTCTATTATTTTATTACTTGGCTCTGGATCGGTTGTTCTAACTGGTTTATGGCATGCAGGCCTTTTTAGCAAATGCCTCTCCAGACTCTACAGAAGCAGAGGGGTCATAAAAATAAATATAGAATTTGGCCTCATTCCTCTTGAACCCAACTGAGTAGGATCAGCTGGTGGATACAGAGCACAAATGGCAAGTTGAGAAAGACATGTCTGCGGGGCCCCTGAGTGAGGCTTTATTTGCTGATTAACGAAGAGCACGTGCTCCGAGGCAGCAAAGACAACCGGAAACATCCCTCAAGAGAGCAATGAGCCCATGGAATGGGAGTGGCGGTTTCTAAGGGGCATGGGCTAGGGCGCCCCCTGCAGTATGACAGCACATTGCACATGGACCACGTCCTGGCGCTGCTCCTGGTCTTCCTTCCTGCCAGGGCTGGCCCTCCTCCCTTGGTGGCCACTGACCTGTGTCAGGCTTGGCTTAAGGAGGCACCAGCCACCCAGCTCAGGTCCCTCCAGGATCCAGTGGAGCCAGGGCACTTAGGTAGCGCCCGGGGGGCAGGACGCACAAGGCACACAGACGGGTCACGCTGGGAGCGGGTGCACCAGGGGGATGGGAGCTCTTGGATCACGGGTTACAGGTCAACCTGCAGAAGAAAGGCACATGGGCAGGATTAGAAAGAAGCCCAGCTCCGCAAGGAGTCCAGTCAGTGCTGTCCCACCCCCACCACCCCATGCCTCTCAGTCCCACCCACTGCCCACAGTCTCCACTCAGCTTACCGTGTCCCAGCCTCATGGTCTTCACCGCAGGACCACAATGGCTTCCTAATTGGTCTCCCTAACCCCACTCTGGCCCCTCCTAACCATCCCCACCTTCGTGGCCAGAGTGATCATATACAAACACGAGTCATGTCCCTCCCCTGCCCAAAACCTCAGTGGTTCCCATGTGCGCTAGGATCAAGAGCAGCCTCCTCCAACTCAAATGCCTTCTCCTCCTTTAAGCCTCCCCTGATCTCTCTGTGTGGAATCGCTCTATGGGCCTCTTTGCCTCCTTCCAGAGTGGTGTGTGATTATTCTCCTATGGTCTGTTGCCCCATTAGTTAGGCTAAAGTCACACAATCTGCCTCACCTCCCCAGGAAGATAGAAAAAGATGGGACAGAGGATGCTAAAGATGCGTTAGAGGGGCCCTGAGAGGACCGTGGGCCACTCAGCAGCATCCCGGGGGTCTTCCAGCTCCACCTGGACACCCCTATGATGCAGGAGGCTTCCTGTCACTTTGGCAGAAGCCAAGAGCAGCATCAGGGTTTGTTGGATCCATTTGGACTAAAGTGGGAAATGTGTATCTGCAGCCACGCTCCCAACCTGTGTTCATGTGGGAAGGAGGGCAGCTAAAACCTGGCTTTACTTGGTTCAAGGCCCAAGTTAGAGCAGGCTCCTCCCAGGCTTGGCTGCCAAGGCGAGAAAGTTGTTGCTGCGGCTGCCGCTGTGCTGAGTAATAACTCCTTATTAGCAGCTTCCTGGGGCTGTTCCCAGTCCTCTGATTTAGGTGGGATGAGTCAGGTGCCTTCTGGCTCTCCCGGAGTCCGTGGTGACAGATTGTTACTGTACACTTAAGCCTAAGGAAACCCAGCCAGGGTTCAGAGGCATTTGTTCTTTCAAATCCGAAGTCAAGAGGTTGAGCATCAACCCAGGGAAGAAGGGGAAAAACACCAGAGCTCAGGTGGGCTTTGTGGCACGTGGGTGCCTGGGGCTAAGGACTTCCCTCCTCGGACCTGCAGGGGATGCAGAAAAGCCAGAGAGTAGGGGGCTGACTTGCGGCTTGTGGATTAAGTGTATTACATGCAAACAGACGAGAGAAAGGGGACCAAGGATGGGGAGAGAAAAAAGAAAATCACTGCAGTTCAGCTCTGCCTTAGAAGAGATGGGGGTCAGCCCCACAGCCCAGCCTAGCGGAGACCCACTGGCCATTCCGCGTCAGTTCCAGAAAACAACCCCCTCGGGCACCTCGCACCGCTCTACCCCTAGTATGTGGCTCTCCTGAGAAAAACAAGTCACCGCAAGCACTTGGTGATCACATAGTTCCAGGAAATGCAGAAGGAAGGTGGTTAGCATTTCCAAATAGCAACCAAGGGACAGGTGTTTACGACCTGTGACCTCACTGAATTCTCATAGCCGCCCTGGTTGATAGAATTGTTCGCATTTTACAGAGGAGGCTCAGAAAAGTTAAATAAACCAGGAAAGTCACAGAAATGATATGCGGCAGGCCTAGGAATTTCAATCCACATCTACCAGTCCCAAAACCCCACCTTCTTCCCACTGTCCTTCCTAGGGCCACCTCAGCAGGACTTCAGTTCTCACCTCCTTGTGGTTCTTCTGGAGGCACATCAGCTCCTCCTTCAGGGACTCCACCTGCATCTCCAGGTCAGCTTTGCACAGGGTCAGCTCGTGCAGGATTCCGCGCAGGCCATTGGCGTCAGCCTCCACCAGTGGCCGCAGGGCCAGATCGGTCTCAGACCTGGGTAAGGACCAGGTCAGTAACTGAGGAATGAACTTGAATACAGAGCTCAGGGAAGGCCTGGCACTGCTGGAGCTTTTCCGACTGTCGGAACCAGTGGATCGCGGCCCCCAAGCATGTGCGGGAGCGAGTCTCCCCCAGCTGCTGGCCAAACTCACTTGGTCCTGAAGCTGTCAGCTGCCAGCTTGGTGTTGTCAATGTGCTCAACCATCCTGGCATTCTCTGCCTTGGTACACAGAACCTAGGGGCCACAGCACACACAGAGGGTCAGTCCAGGACAAGAAGAAAGAAAAAGAACCCAAATGAGGACTGATAGGGCTCAGCGGTCCCGCAGCCATCCCTGCAGAAGGTCCTGGAACTCTGAGGGATATTCAGCGAATTGCTGGTCCTTCAAGAGCATGAGTTTGTTTGTTTTTTTTTTAAGTACCTGGGTCTTCATAAAGTTGCATGTCCCACTTTGGATGCAATGAGCAACATGGAAGGAAATACTCTGTTAAGTGTGGATTCATTCACATGACAGTTAGAAGGGTCCTTAAGCACTTACATTTACTGAAAACTCACCAGGTACCAGGGGCTGTGCTAAGCGCATTACCGGCATCAACCCATGGAATCTTCTCAACATAAGGACCATCATCATCCCCATTTTACACATGAGGAAACTGAGGCCCAGGGAAGGGACCTCCTAGAGTCATGTAATGGATCAATGACAGAATTGAGACTAGATCTCAGACCTTTTTCCAGATTAAGGGCTCTGGCTGAGCACTCAAATCATGAGATAATTCTACACCCTAGGGAAGTCTCTTTCCCTGACCATCGCTTCATCAATTAATGAGATTCAAATCTGGAAGGCCAGCTATTCCAATCGCCCTCCCAGGGAATCTGTTCACCACTTGCCCTCACCTTCTGCTGAAGTTCCTCTATAGTCTTGAAATAAGACTGGTAGTCAGGACACAAGGTGTGCCCTTGAGACTGGCAGGCCCCTTAAATCTCTCACTCCAGCTCCGTGTTGTCCCGCTTCAGCTGCCGCACCTTCTCCAGGTAGCTGGTCAGGCAGTTGTTCAGGGACTGCATGGTCCCCTTCTTGTTGCCATTGAAGGAGCCTTTGCAGGACCAGCTGCAGGTACCTATGGAGCTGGAGATGCCACTGGTCGGCCCACAGCTGCTGGGCCGGCAGGACTGGACAGGTAGGCCTTGGAGACGCAGCTGGCTGTCCGGTAGGTGGCGGGCGTGCAGACGAAGGGCACCCATGTCAGGGGCTGGCAGGCATAACCCAGGCACAGCTGCGGCCGGCGGCCCATGCTGCTGGAGCAGACGTAGGAGGGCCGGGGGCCGCCCTTGAGGGAGGCTGGGCGGGGGTTAGATGTCACGTTGGAGAGGCTGCCACTACCTGGGCTACAAGGACCTGAATTGCTAATGTCCTCCAGCCCCATTCTGCCCGGGACCTTTCTGTACCCTTGGGGGCAGGGGGCTCATGCTCGAAAGTCCTCATGGAGTGGTGTTGATGACCTGGCCCCAGAGGAAGCTGCTAATTAATTTGTAATTTGGTTTTCAGTAAGGAGTTCCTTTCACCATAAAAGAGGCCAAGCTTGTCATTTGGCTAACCCAGGACTCCAGGCTTCCATCACTGATCACAGGAGACAGCTTCCAGACCCATCTTCAAAGGACCAGCTCCTTCCCTGGGCTCTCATTAGCAGGATGGGGCTGCCAGGAGACCACGGCAGCCTGGGCCCCTGTACCCTGACCTGCTCCAGCCCTGATAAAGGCCAAGGCCACAGTTCTATGGGGCAGTGGCCACTGCTTTTAATGAGAGCATCCCCTGTGGGAAGAGGCCTGGCCCCTTAAGGAGGGAATGTGTGGGTAACTAAAGCAGCACTGATACTGGGAGTAGTGTAAGTCCAGGGAGGAGGGAAGACCTCTGAGGTGTCTTCATGTGGCTCTTCTTCCTCGGGGGAAGAAAATGATCACAGGGAGGAGAGAGCAAACTCAAGACACCACAGAAAGCCTGAGAATCGGGGACATCCTTTCCGCCGGATGCTGCTGAGAAAGAGAGGGGCGAGGACGCCCCTCTGGGAATAGGAGGTCAATGTCGTGAACACCCCCGTGAGACAGATACTGTCTCTGGCTCCTCCCCTTCATTTCTCGCTGCTCCACATAGAGTTGGGAGAGTTCGGTGGTCGTTGGCTGCACAGGCTGGAACTGGCTCTGCTTTTACTTT